AGGTATGAATACATATAAGTAGCAACAATGACAATGACATAGTGTCTATTTTAAGTGTTTTTGCAAGGTAAGGCAAATTTATGTATATAGCACATTTCATACCAAAGGCCACCCAAAGTTTATGAGCAAAAGCACAAACAAAACAAGAAATAAATGATAAAACAATGAGGCAAGCAAGCAAAAGCATGTAGGATAAAAACAATAAAATCAGTTGTAAATCAATACAAAATTGTAAACAAATAGTGCAAAGGAATGTGGTGAAATTGTAGACTTGAAGAGGTTTTGTTGCTCATCCATCCATACTATTTTAGTTGTGCTGACTAGTGGAGAGTCCCAGGTATTTAAATATCACAGAGTAGTTTATACTATGACTCCCTTCCTGTTTCTGAAGAAAAATACTTGTCAGAACATGTGCTTTTTTTAGCATGTGTGCTCTTGTCTGTCTCTGTGGGTATTTGCATAAAGAAAAACTACTGTATGTGCTGAAACAAAGGCCTTCTCCAGACCTCCAACTCTACCTTGAAATGCTGTCATACAGTATAATATAACTGTAACTGTAACTAATATAACTGCATCAGCTTTTTCTGACCTTTCTTTTCTTTCATGCTAAAATGGCAGCCTGCTGTTCAACTGTGTTGTGACATATATTCAGAAAAAGTGAGAATTAAGAGTGCAAAATCTGTTCATGAAAACTTTGCAGGTAGCAGTCAAATCAGAGTGCCGATTGCATAGATAGCAGCCCTGATATTAAAAGTAAACTTCAAACAAAAAAGCTCCTGTTTCTCAGACCACCAAAATTAGTGGTTCCCTGGAGGTGGTTTTAATTAAGATATAAACCTTTAAAAAAAAAGAAGGCCTAAACTCAAACTATATTCACAGAGCCTTTAATCTCTTAAAAATGTATCATTACAATGTTCTAAAAAATGACAATACAGGCAGAAACTCATCTCTGATCAATATTTGCAGTTTATCAGTACTGTTGTTGTTTTGCATTGAATATAATATATAATATCCATAAAATATAATATCACTTAATCAGGTGACGTCAGTTTACTTAATTATAGAAATGGGGTCCCTTAAAGTCACCGACCCAGATCAGTGGTTCCCAACAACCATCCAGTCCGACGAACTCAAGCACTCCTTCATCAACAGCACCATTTATGTTCCTAATGCGTTCATTTAAATTCATTTCAAACTGGATGTTGTTTTAACTGGTCATCATATAAAAGTGGATGTTTTTACGTTCACAATCTCTCCACGTAAACCCTGGCAACAGCAGATGTACCTTCTGCTCCCTGGTTTGAAATCCCAGACCGAGATAACATGCAGATGATACAAAAGGAACGGTAATCCGGTATGGTGATCACCCCACGCAGTAATGAGGTCAGGACTGCAAAAATAGTCATGGACTCCCCTATAACCGTACGAGCGAGTTAAAAACTGGCAATGTTGAGACCTCAGAGACAGTATACGTTGTTCTGCTACATAAGCATTAGATATAATAGCACATTATACATCAAAGAATTTGAATAAACCATTTTATATATTCCCTGGAAGTAATAATTTCTAAATTGAGGGGAAAACCTTCAGTCATGATACACTTACACAGGTGTTTTCACTGAGTAACCGGATAAGACATCTTCTCAGGAATGTGCGGGTGTTTGCAGACTGTTTCACATCCCTTCATCCATCAGAAGGGGGCGATTGCTGATGATCAATCTGTGCTTTCACAGTCAGTGATATTGTAAATTAGCTGGAAAGTATTCTATAGGCTGTAGTCTTCGTGTGAGTGATTTTATGTTGTGGAGACGGGGAATGTGTTTCAGTGACAAACCTATAATTTGGCATGGGCTAAATGTGGATGATTGTCTGAGACACGCATGTTATTCTCTCACAAACATCCTCCCGCCATTCCTCTCTGGTTATTCCTCCTTTTCATCTGCCTTTTGGTCTCACTGTGAGTCAGGTGGAGTTGTGGTTTTTAATGCCAAACAGATTCAGTTTCTACTCCAGAGGTTTTCACCACGATCGGTCTATTCCCTTTCATCTGTCAACGTTTGAGGAAAGCGAAATGTTGGCTTCAGGCAGTACAGTACAAATACTTTTGATCATTAGTCCAGAACGTGCAACCTGTTTCTCGGCATCAGCACTTTTATGTCTTAACAGCAATGCGACCAGTAGTCTGCAGACCAAAGCTTTTACACTTGTTGGACATATAAAGGTTTATTACCCCATACTGTATATGAACAACTCAAGATTTGTCTCAAGACTTATCTGTGCCTTTTTAATCTGCTTACACTAACTGACTGTAGTCAAATATTTAGTATGAAATTGATCAGACAAATTTATTGGATACACTGTTTTTAGAACCCAACCGATACAGGATTCAATACTACTACAATTCAAGTCCAATACTGACATTTATATTAGTAAAAAACAAAACGCACACATCTTGATAAAGATCCCTTAAAGTATTCTGACCTACATATGTAATGAGCTGGATATTTTACAGTAAATAATTATGTAATGGTGACAAGTCCAAATATAGTGCAAAATTTCAATAAAATTGGCACAAAAAATAAATAAATACACAGCTGGTGGTGCTAATTCTCCGATCGGGTGCAGAAGGTGCAAGGAGACGATGTAATTAAAAAAGGCTGAAACAAAATGATGGCGGTTGTGTTTGTTTCATGCATTAATTTGAGGCCAGCTAAAGTTTCCTCATTGTTTCATACTGATCTGATGTTTTTGCTGGCTGCTATTTTCGCTCTCTAAAGTGAAGCAGAAGCTTCAGTTGACTTTGGAAAGTCACACATTTTATGTGCGTCATGATTTATGTTTCCACACTTTGTCGCAATTTTTTTTCTTTTCTACCTCAGCCAGACGTAAAATAAAAACAGGTGGATCCTCGCTGACCGTCTCTTAACTACCTGGAACATCTTAGGGATTTATGTGCTGGGATTTATTCTTGTTTACTTCTGGCCCTGCAAATAGACAGTGGCATGTCAATACTGCGAGGAAAACATGTGGGTCCTCTAGCAATCACTTGAAATTAAAACCTGCCGGCTGTTGCGTCTCTTCCTGCTACTGGTGCAGGGCAACTGATCTGCTTCAGTGTAGTGAGAATGTACTACCATCCAAGTTCTGATAACATGGCTGGGTTTTTACCAAAGGCTGGTGGGTAAATGTGTCAACCTACTTTTTGAATATAGAAACAGTCTCAGGTTTAGCTGAAATTTAAACACAAACGTGATAGTGAAATATTTCTCTGTGGAATATTTCTAGAATGCTTCTTGCTACCTGATCTCTTTTTCTGTGCACAAGCCTTTAGATATTTCTGGCACGGTGACCTCTTAGTGTGGTATGAGGGGGGGGGGGGGGGAAGAGGATTCCCCTCTTTCCAGCGCATACACGCCGGCCTGGCGTCATATCAACATGCACAGAAAACTTTTCTCAATCCATATAACCACAGAAGTCTCACCATGGTTGTGTGTGTTGTTAACTGATCTAAAGGATCCTTAACCGTTTCAAAATTGAGATGATACATTCAGGATGATTAAGTGATTAAGATTGCCTAGCTGAAACTGCCTTGGTACATTTCAGAGTTGCATTTATAATTTGAGTATTTTTGGGGATAATTAATCACAGACTACACATTAAAAAAGCAGTGAAAAGAAACAGACAAGGAAAAATAAACAGCCAGTTTGTGCTGCCAAAAAACTGATGGCATGCATTCAGTGTAAAAACCTAACCGACAACATTCACTGTATTTGTGTTAATTGTGTGGCACCCACTCATATTTAGGAAGGGTTAGACTTCATTCTATAAATTACTATATGCCAATTCGTTACAAGCTGGTGGCAGCCTATGAGGTAAAAATACATAGTTAGCCAAGTGACCACTACTCAAAGTACAAGTTACTTTATATTTTAGTATTTTTTAGGGAGTATTTACTACTGCATTAATGAAAGTAGTTTCTTGGTGAAGTTAGCATTACGTTAGGTTAGGGGTTTCTTAAATAACATCAATTAAATGAAATGAAATTAAATGCCATTATCATAGCAAATGTTAGCTAGCTAACTGTACTTTACACCCGAAGTATGTGCAACTTCAGTGTGCTTGCAGACGTTAGAAGAGGAGGTTTTATAAGTTGAGATCTCAGTGTTTTTTCCGCGAGGCACAGCAAGCATCATGAGCAATCACAGCAGTCATGTAACTGGCCAGGGATTGTCACTGGAAGCTGCTTTTTGATCTGGGTTTTGCTCCCGTCGTCATCGCATCGTGCTTATTTTTCCTCCAGGCAGCTGTCCATTGGCCTCCGCAGCAGAGTGACTCCCCGTTCGCCTCTTGTCCCCTGCACTCAATTCCCCATTTAGAGCAGACTAGTTAAAATGAAGGTATACATGGCAAATGTGGCAAAGTAAAAAGTAGATTATCGATGCACATTCATCATCACTCTTCAAGAAACACTATCAGCTGTTCATAAATCATCACATACACACATATTGACCATTACACTGCCGCTGTGAGTCATTACAGAACACATACCTGTTATTTTACCACCTTTTATTTAGGACAGACCTTTACTTGTTCAAACAGACCACCTCTCAGGATATTATTTGTATAACAGCCGTTATACAACCAACTATGTAGGCTTTTATTTTAATTTATATGTAGTAAATATGTTTTTAGATGGTGAGCCTCCTACTCTCTGAAAGTTTTCACCCTTTGTTTTCATCATCCAATCACAAGCTGCCACCTGTGACCTGTGTAGTTTTGCATGGGAAATGTGTCAGGCAGGCATTTGAAGTCAACACACACACACACACACACCACACCACACACACACACACACACACATACTCTCACTAGATAAACAAAACATTGTGCAACTTGTATTTAAACCGACTGCAGTAGAAACTGGTAGCAGTAAATGGATGTTCATCTTTTTATGTCTATGTTATACCTTAATTAAAAAAAAAATTTTGTGTGTGTGTCAGGTGAGGAGGAGATGGAGGTTCAGGAAGGAGCTGAACAGACAGACAGAAGAAAAGACCAAGGCTCATCACAGGTACACTGAAGGATTACTATACCGTACACAGTTTGTGGTCAGTTATAGAAATACTGTATTGGACCTCTGTGTATCAATAAGTGGATTACTAGTTTAACACATACATAAAATGTACTTGTAGGTTGACATAGATCACAGTTTCTTGTTTACATTTACATTTCTGATGTCTCACGAAGCTGAAGCCAATGCTGAACTGCCTTGATGCAGTATCATTAATGGCCACTAGATGCTGGGCTTCATGGGACTCCATTCAAAAGGTGCCAGCTTTTCTAGGCATACAAAGTTTTAAGAAAAAAAATTCCCCACAAAGCTATGTTCTCCCTCTCTGCATCATTGCTGCACTGTTAAATCATTTTTTGGTTTTGGTCCCTCAGGTAACTAGATACTAAATGTGTTTTGTCTTGAGCAGGCGATGCTGAACAGCGAGGAGGGTTTGGAAGATGAGGAGAGAACAAGAAGGAGAGCGGAGAGGAGGAGAGCGAAAAGGAAAGTGAGTAAGAATAATTCAATGTGACTGACGTCTAGGGATGGGAATCGAGAACTGGTTGCAGTTGAGAACCGGTTCCAAATTGTCCAATCCATTGTAATCTTACGCCTCAAAGCTCAATTCCTTTAAGCAACACCGAGATGCTTTCTGACAGTTGTGTATTGCAAAACACTGACGTCGAACTTGTGTGTCGACGCTGTTGAAAACCTGCAAAGGAGTCATGGTGGAGAGGAAGAAGTGGTTCAAATTGTGGCTTCATTTCACAAAGAAACTCAAACCACTATAATTCTACTCAGAGATAATAAAACTGAACACCTGTAGGCCTAGTTTTTCCCCCACACAGGAAATTAATCAGGAATCAATAAGGGAATGTTTGATTTATCATTAAAATCTATCTATTTCCATCCCTACTGACATGACGACACACTTATATCATGTACATATCATGCAAGTACAGAACCAGTACAAATACAAACACCGCTTTTGTACCAAGGAATGAATAAAAGGAAAGCAGATTAACAATTAAACTTACTGTTCAAAATGCTAAAAAATAAAACTCATTTAAAAATATAATTCAGAATACAAATGTATGATTTCTGCCTCCATATTGTCACATCACACATTTTCAGAAGGTTATTTTCTAGTTGAAATGTACAGCATGTTTAAAGACAGTGATATCCTCTCATCTTCATCTGCTACTTATTTGTGCCTTTTGTGTTTTTTAGAAATGTCTGAATTTAGAAAACATCATGAACATACAGAACAAACTACAACGTGTCCACCGGTTTAGTACATTGACATATAATGACATTATGCCCACAACATCACTCTTATGTGCTTCTGCATTAAAATGCACCATGTTCCCCACATGTAAACCGCTCTAAAAAAATCTAAAAAACAACATGGAATAAATATATGTTGTGCATGGAGCAGCTTAAGGCTTCATTGTTTGATTCCTCTACTAACTCAAATGAATGTGTCTATTCCACACATCACCACACCTGCTACCGCACCCTTATTTACTCATGCCACCATCATTGCGCCACCTGTCTTCACACCTTTCTTAACAGCTGCTGTTTACCTCCTCCTCTGTTTTCATGCATTTAGCCACACCCTCTTCCTGAACTGTTCCCACACTTGTTTCCTCACTTTCTGTGACTGCACATCTGCATCTACAGCTGTGTGCATACCATTGACGGTATATGGTCCATACATGTCTCTGTACCATCCCACAGCCACCATGTTCATGCTCTCCTTTCAGAGGCAGAAAGAACGAAAGAAACTAGAGAGAGAGGAGAGGATGGAGGATGCTTCAGAGCAGGTGAGAACACCAGGGCCTAATCTGCTGTTCTATTTATTATCTCATCAATGTACATGGTGTTACTTTATACAGTCTTACTCATCCAAAAGGTATTTAGACTCTTATGAAACATGATATATATCTATATATATCTATATATATAGATATATATATATAAATAACAGTCAACACTATCACTCACTAATCTGCATGTTATAAATTTGCATTGGTCAACAAAAAAACTTCATTTGTATGTTACATAATACCTTTCGTAAACTCTACTAGGAATATGTGACTTCTTCTTCTGTGGTAGTTTTTAGATAATTCTTTTTAACTTTGAACAGGAAGAGGAAGTGGCTGGAGCGGTGTCAGACAGTGACAGTGAGGAGGAACTGAAAGAGGAGGAGGAGGAGAAGGAGGAGAAGGAGGAATGGACCCCCGTTCGGCCCAGAAACAAATTCAACCCTGAATCAGTCCCTGCTCTTGTGACGACAGAGAACAAAAGCAACCGCCAGCTGCCCCACAGAACCTCCGAGGAGGTGGGTCGACTACTTAGTATATCGGTCATCCCTTCAAAATAAAGCAAGCACAGGGCCACCTGATGGTTTGACAGTCCTGCAAAGTGTTCTCGAACAGACAAATGTCCTATTTAAGTGTTCATGAGTGAGACATTGAATCCTTCTCTGCTCCCTAGCCGTGAAGTGGGACATATACTTCTATTAAAATGTATTTATCCTTAAAAACAGAGATCAAAGTATACATCTCAACGGTCTTCAAGAAAATAAATGCTAGTTAAATCCCAGTATAGAGAAACTTACTAACTAGTATTTGATGGAAAGACCACTCCAAAAAATTATTTATTGATGAACATTTTGTGGCCCCTTGGGATCCCAGGTTGGAGCAAATAATGTCAGTGTGCACTGCAGAAGGGCGTCTGACCCTGCACAGATGTACAAACAAATGTGTTAAACCACCTTTTTGAGCCCTGTTCGGCAGTGCTCTCGGCTTCCCAGTAGCCATAATACCACATAACTGCTGTCGTCAGGATGTAAAAGCTGGAGTGCGAGTTGAAATATCATCCAAGAGGAATATGTTTTGGACAAAGACAACAGCTGTGTTACATGTATTGTAAGCTATAGGATGTACAAAGCAGAGTTTGTTGCTCCATTAGATAAGTGGAACAGTTGGGGCAACACTATGGAGGAGGTGAAACTTGTGATTTGCTTGTGACTTGTTTGTGTCCCAGTATAAGTATTATCATAGAATCAGGTGTTCTGATTGCCACAACAGACCCTTGTGCTGCACGTCTAGATTGCCTTGGTCTGGTCCACAATGTTTGTATGGGGTTTGTTTGTGCTCTCACTGCCACGTTATAAGAAGGCTTATAAATGAAAAATGGTTTCACAAGTTTTGTAAAAATGGTAAAATTTCATCTTGCAATTTAGAGTTTAGGGGGTTAAAATAAATACAACACCGGTACGTGTAACTTCAACTAATCTCTAATAGATTTGTCTGTACTCTTTTCCGTAATTTACCATCTCTTGTGTTTATACCATTTAAGAACATGAATGAAGCTGAAGTACACCACACTTTCCTTGGACCAAGGAAAGAGGACCAAGACCTCTATTTTAAGGTATCTCGGTGCAGTTACTTTGTAGCGGCTGCGTCTGATTGGCTCCCCTGCTAAAAAACTAACCAAAGTAGAGAAGTGAACACTGCAGAGTTTTCAATAACTTTCTCCAGACATGCTCGGTATGAACACACCCTTACTTCGCACCATGAAACAGCACTGTAAGGCAGCAAATACAGGTTTGAAGTCTCATGTAGAGCCATGTCAGGTTTCAACATGTCTGCCTGAAATGTTAAATGCGATTCAAGACATCACTGACTAAGGAGGATGGCATGGTGGTCTGGTTGTTGAAGAGAGTTTTCTTTCATAAACATAAGGTCAAATCCCATAATAGCAAACTCAGCCACAAGTGCACTGTCCTTGGGCAAGACATCGAGCCTCTACCTGCTCCAGAGGCACTCCACCTGCACTCTGACCTCTCAGAGATTATATTGGTTTCAATACTATACATTTGTTTCAATTGGAACACACAAAAACCCAATTCAGTCCTAAAACACAACTATTTGGAAACCATAAGTATAAGCAAGCCCTGATGGTGTGTGGAGAAATCTGTGACTTGCAGGTACTTACTTGGCTAAACCTGAAGGAACTTTGCAGTTGAACAGTAACAGAGATTGACCCATGTTGGTTTGATGAACACTGAAATCAGCATATGGTCCGAGCACATGTCTTTTCTTTTATACAAAAAGTAGCTATCAGCCTTTTATCAGCCTGTTGAACTGTGTGTTTTGTGTTACTTCCTGGTGTTTCAGGAGCCGGAGTGGGACGTCAGCAGTGCATTTGTGGCCAAAGCTGCCAGCCACATCAAACTCAAAGCCCCGAAGAACAGAGCAACACAGATCTCCAGAGAGAACAAGGAGAATGAGACCAGGAGCAGCCAGGTACACACACACACAACACACACACACACACATCCACATCACACACACACACAGGGCCACAAGTATGCAGCCGTTCCATCCATTCATCCAGTTTGTAGTCATTTTATCCAGTCCACAGTCCTTCTCCAGCGTATTTGGTAGCATATTTTATTGATTCGTCTGATCTGGAAACGAGGGAAATCAGCATTACGCACACAAAACTGTCTGTTGTGATTGCAGGTGGAGAACAAAATGAAGAGGAGGGGGGAATCTCTTACAGGTGAATCATCAATTTGTTGTTTTTTAACAAAATGCTGAGATAGGCTTAGGCTTTTCTTACACTCAAGAAAAGCCTTGCAGCCCCCGTGAAGCTTTGGGGACCCCTTGTGGGGTCCTCAAAAGTTCAAAAGTGTATGTGTGTGTTTGCATTCATTAGTGCAGGGAATTCAGATGTTCGAGCAAGGCCAGTACAGCCAGGCAGTGGACATGTTTACAAAAGCCATCGACTGCGACCCCAATGACCACAGGTGA